TGGTGAAATCTTTTATCTATATTTGCCTTCATTGTATAAAAATCATCAGTGTCTTTTTACATTGCATCTCCAGCTAAGATAGAAAAAAAAAACAGCCCAGGCCTTCGGTTCCACTCTCTGCAGTTGCCCTTCTTTAATAAAAAGTACAGCATGCTACAGTATTTTGTTCTCCTCCCAGCATGCATTTGATCTAGACACCAGGAAATTCACTGATGATTTATCAGTTTGCCAAGAAAACGTTGATGCCTCTTTCTCAGCCTGCCCATGCCTCTGTCTATTAGAGGCACTGAAGATCTGGAGTGAACTAGATTCTTTTTGCAGAAAACTCCAGTCACTGATGCTCAAAGGCCTGGCGCCAGCTGACGGGAAGCCGCTAATTAAGAGGGCTGGAGAGCCAGTGGGGCACCTTACGGAACACCGGCACCTGGGTTTCACATGAGGGGGGCTGGGTGTCCATCACACTTTGCCCGTGTTGCACAGAGGGCTCCGCAGTCAGTTCTGCGCGATGCGATGTTGCTCTGTTTTGACGCGTGCATTTTCAAACACAGCTCACACAAAACCGCCACTATTCTTCTTGTGCTTCCTCACTCAGTTGGGGGCCATTGCAGAGAGAGGCATCATTGTGTTGCAAGATGAAAATATACATGTCAAGGTGCATTTCCTTTATGTCAGTTGCACTTAAATACATCTGCAGCAAGGTGAATGCACACAATAAAACCTATATACACACAGGATTTAAAATCCCACATGCAAAACCTAGCGCTCCTCCTCTTGCTATTGTTCACCGAGTCTTCTTTGCTGTAGGGTCAAAATGTCTTTAACTAATCTAAGTGGCTTCGACTTAGGGGACAGTATGAGGTCTGCCATGAGTTCTGTCATTACACTTTCGCGCACCAGAGGCAGATACAGCTCCCGACCACCACTGAACCTCCCCGTATTGCCATCCAATCCGACACCACAGATGCAGTAAACCTAAGTGAACCGCAGTTTCGAAAGTCGACAGCAATAACCACTGCAGAATTGCTTTTAATCAACGTCTGAAATGAGGGTGACTTGAAGCGTCGCCCCATGCTGATTAAATGTAATTGTTTAATTGCCAAGTGCTGGGAACCCATCCTAAGAGGATTCCAATGGAATTATTTAATCTCTAGTCAGGAGGTGCACTGCAGGAAAAAAAGAGGAGGAAAAACGGAAGAAGTGAAAAGGCCAAAATCAAGCAGAAATAGTCTTTTTTTTTTTTCTTTCTAAGTGTGTCCCTGATGAAATATTAACTGTGGTTTACATTTAGTTGGCTGAGAGAGTGAACAGTCTGTGCTGGAACTTCAGCTTCTGAAGGGGTCACGGTTCTGACCTCTTTGTGCGCAAAGTGGTTTGATCTTGTCTGCAGGTTCTTTTCTATGTTTTGGCAATATTCTGGAGGAATGCGAATGCGGAATATTGTTCTGTTCTTTGTAGAAGAGAGTCCAAGGACGTAAAAATGACTTCAGGTATTAGCATTAAAATACAGTGGTTTCAGTTTACATCCGATACTTTTAATCGCATTTAATCCGATTAGAAGTTAGATTTTACGATTAAACAGATAGTCTGGAATTTTTCTTAAAAGATAATAAGCCGTCACTGTAAATATATCACCCGCAGAAACTCCATTTACGTTTTCATTTAGTATAAATCCAGATTAGTTGGTCATGGAGGTTGAAGCTACCGACTAGTCAACAATCCAAATTTCTCACAGGGGTTGTGCTGATGCAAATTATGCTAATGCTTAATTGAATTTTGAACTGAAGTTATTTCGGTGATGGTACAGATGAGAACATCATCACCAAAGAGAAAAACACAAAAAAGCCAACATCTTATTTTTTTTTTTTTGTGGTCCTATTTAATCAACCTTTACCAACTTCATGCTTGCATTAGATGGTTATTTATCCTGCTGATAAATATCCATGAGAAATGGAGGCTGAAGACAGGGATCTTTCTGTGAAAACCAGAACATAACAACTAATGTATTTTGACCCAAATGAGTCAGAAACATTCGTTAAAGTCATTTAAGTCTTCTTTCTTTCCCAATTTGATGCTCGGCTCAATTTCAAAAAGTTATTTTCACCGTATGTACTGCTTAAGGCCACTGAGATGATGGCATAGGATTAGCTATTTTAGCAATTGAAAAAGTGTACCTACTAATATGTCTGGTTTGTTTATACCACTGTGTTATTCGGCCTGTAAATATTTGCATGTCTTTATAAAGAGCATCACATAAGGTGTTTGCCTCATTCCTCCTATTACTGGGTATTGCATCTTTTAGGACAGCTAATCAGACACCAAAGCCAACTAAATTAGATCTATACTAAATAAAGTATAGAATCTAAGCATACTAAAAGAGATGGAGATATTAAGTCCAACAAAGTGTCAAGAAAATGCAATAAAAAGCTATAAAACAGGTTTATATGATCACAAACTTGTCTTTGCCGAATGGACTCCATAAACCTGACTCTTAGCAGTTGTCTTCTGTTCGGGGTCATCGCCCCTTAGGATCATTGCCTCCAGTTATAAGCCTTGACCAAGAAGAGCAGGATGAAAAAAACAAGAAAACAAACACTTCTTCACATGTCTTAATTATTATCTCCCATTGAAATTCCCCTTTGCTTAGACTAATTTAAGCTGGCATGATCCCCAACACTACCTCAGTCAGTGGCCAATAAGATTGGCACACATGCCATGACATTTCAATCTATCATCAAAATCAATAGCAGTATCCCCCACTAATATCACTGCACACAATGCACAGAGAAAGTGCTCTTGCTGTCACATTTGAGAGTAAACCCAGCTTTGCCATTCTGCTGATGACTGCAGTTCTGTCAACCCCAGGGAAATGCGCCTGCATCCCTCTGGTCAGAGCTGCACTGCTGTCCCCCTCAACCACGTAGTGGGCTGAGCGGGAGCGAGAGGTGGGGTGGGGGTAGAGCATAGCAGAGGCCTTGTTCCCTGCAGCTGTGCCCTTATTCCCAGCACCTGACCAGGGGGCCAGATGTGCACACAAGCAACAGCAACAATTTGAGCAATGCAAGTCCCCTTTGGGACCCAGACACCTGCAAATGAATCCTCAAGATCTGACACAAAGGCATAATTACAGGTCTAACAAGCATGCATCTGGAGAGAGAAATGTTTAATCTTATCAAATCAAGCTTACAGAGACAGAGGTGTCAGAAAACAGTTTTGCACTGTCAGCATTTCATGCACACATCAAACAAAAGTTATATGCATTTGGCACAAACCCAGAAACTATAGGGCACAATGTGGTCATTCACAGTGAAGTGCTGAAATCCATTTAAATTATTTCCTTCCAGGCTTTCAGCAAAATCCATCAGCTAGTGTCTGAGATGAGTGTGTTGATGAAAGTCTTCATTTGCATTCTCATTAAAAAAAAAAATATATATATATATATATATATATATATATATATATATATATATATATATATATTATATATATATATATATATATATCTTTCATTAAAGCCAAGTAAATAAGATTTAAACTATTAATGTGTATTATTGTTAAAGGATAAATACAAAGCATTCAATTGCAAAACAGCTATTTCAGGCAGTTTATAACATCAGCTGTAGCGAAGAACATGCCACAATAACATATTTATATCTCAAGACCATAAGGAGGACGCTGCGAGAGCACAGCCACATGTGATCATTATTGTTATTATTGTAAAAATTAATACAGTTTTTTTTTTTAAACAAAAAAATTTACACAGTAACATCAAAGTAAACCCGATGAAGCTGATGAAAAGTGTTAACATTTTGAAAGCTTACTTCGACACGTTATTGCACAGTAAAGATTAATGGTGACATCTAGTGGTACGAGAGGACATGCACACCTTTTCATACTGTAAACTGTTTCAAAAACCTCTCGCAGTCAAATATTTATTTCTGATGAATTTCAGACAAAGAAGAAATAAATTGATGCCTCACATAAAATTAAAGAGGCTCATAAACCTCTGAAGTCGATGGTTATGAGGAAACTGAAAGCATAGCAGCAGGAACACAAGACATTTTGTTTGACAGTTCATGCCGTCTTGTACACCTTCATGTTGCGACCACAAACTTCTGCATAGTTCATTGAGATTTCATGTAATATGATAACAAAAAGGAGCAGATAATTGTGTGGTAAAAAATCCTGTCAGTCTACAAGACTGCTATGTCATTTGTGGAAGAGTGGAAAGTAATACAGTAATCTTAAAATAAAGGCTAAACGAAAGGTTTTAGACAGAAGCATATCCCTATTCTTAAATGGCCCAGTTAAAGTTTAGAATCCAATAGAGTCAGGACCTAAAAGACACTCTTTTCTGGGCTGTAATTGTAGAAGTAGCTGATTGTACAACTAGCTGGTTGGTAGCTGGTTGAACTATTTATAGATACCTTATGTTAGTCTTTCACATTAAATCTCAATAAAATACACTGAAGCTTGTAGTGTGACAAAATGTGAAAAAAGTGCCATGTTATTTTCTTCATTCTTTGACAGCAGAGGGTGATATTGGCCTGTTTTGGCGAGGATTCAATGTAGAGGACAACACCTTAAAATCTGATTTTAAAATATAATTTTATGAAGGATATATAGAGCATATTCTACTGTTACAGACACTCACACAAACAATAAATAAATCAACATATTTTATGACTGCATTTTTTCAAGCATATATGAAAACTGTCTATCTTCAACTCCTAGGATGTTTCTTGTTTTCTACAAATGACAAAGAACTACTTAATAGGTGCATTTCCTTATGATAAAAAAACAATAATATTTACTTCTGTAAATATGTGCATGAGAAAGTGTTCAATTCCTGTTGAATACAAAAAAAAAAAAAAAATCAATCAAACACTACAAAATGCAGTTGAAAACTCAATTACGACCCGTATGACAAGTTGTTGGACACAGATTATTTTAATCTGCTTTCAATGAATTGTTTTGGCACATTGTTTGTTGATGTCTTCCTGTCACTGGCCAGGGCGCAGGGCAGAGGAAGGCGGAGTTGTGTACCGCTTTGGGCAAAGGATCTTGCTGAAGGCCCTGCGGAAGCTACTGTGGCACAGTGGGTACAGGAATGGGTTAATAGCTGAGTTGAGCCACAGGAGCCAGAAGGTGACCTCATACCAGTGATGCTGGATGCATCGCCCTCTGCAGGCAGCACGGATGATCATCAGTAGGGTGTATGGTGCCCAGCAGATGGCAAAAACACATACTATGATGGCCAGGGACTTAGCAATTTTCTTATCCCTGGACAGACGGCTAGGCTGAGCAGCCCTGCTGGTTGAGGGATCCAGTTTACCCAAACAAGGGGAGGAGGTCTGAGAGTGGAAGGAGCCTCTTCCAGGCAGTTTTATCCCAAATCCCCAGTTATGGGACAGAGGGATGCCTTCTGTCTGGGCAGAGGCCGGTTCACTTGCCTGAAGCTGATGCTGAAGTTGGGCCTCTCTATGATGGCGCCGTCTCCTGCGTATACTGAGGTAAATGCTGAGATTGAAGAAAGCCACCGAGATGAAAGGAGAGAAAAACTCCAACATGGAGGCACTTAGCAGAAAGTACCAAGAGTAATAGAACTCTGCAAAGCACTCATCCTTTGGCACGCGGCTTCTGCCCACCACCAGCTCCCAGAATATGATAGCTGGCCCATACAGGACAAAGGCCAGCACCCAGACTGCAATCATCTTGATTATGGCTTGATGAGTCATGCTCTGTCTGGCTCGATAACTTACCTGCAGGAAAAATAAGCATAAATCAGAAAAATTACTTGGATAAAGCTGCAATTAGTGCCACTGTCTTTGGATATTACAAAGATAGTTTCAAATGCCTTCTTTTTGTAACCATAGCAGCAATAACATAAAGATGTTCTTTATGATAACATGAAGATTTTTTTTGTGATCATGGACTAAAATCATTTGTTCAGTAGGAAAACAATTAATTTTGTGCCACCATTGTTGTTATAAAATGTTTCTAAAATAGATTAAGATGATTTTGGGGAGTGGAGGTGGATGAATTTTACTTTACTAATTCAAATTGGTCAGAGTTATTCAATTTTTTTTATTCGTAATCTTTTGAAAAAGGAAGGTTGAAAACAATAATCTCCAGATGTGACAGTACTGCAGCCAACAGACGCATCAAGTCTTATGCTCGCAGGGAAGACTTCAGATCTGTGATGCTGAAGTCTTGTTTCTCTTCCAAAGGCCTCAGAAATTATGTTAAAGTGTATGGCATCATAAAATAAGTCTTTAAAAATAATCTGATGAGCTCTCGGAGAAAAACAAAATTTATTTTACCCATGTCTGTTAGGATAAGAATAATTTAAAAAACATAGTCATGTTAACACAGGGAGTTGTCCACACAAAATCAGCTGTTTTTTAAGGCCGTCTCACTCTGTAACCCTAAATCCTCTCAAGAAATTATTTTAGTTGAGCTGAAGAGAAGAGAGCATGAGACAGGTCCCAGGCCCTAATATGGAAATATTATGCAAAGAAGAGTTGTCAAAAATTACACTCTGTAAACTCCCACTGGGTCAAATGCTGCAGAGAAACACTAATTTGGTTGATTTGGTACTTGCATGAAAGTACCAAATCAATAATTTTCTACAAAGAATTATTTCTTAACAAAAGAACATATGTTCAATAAATTGCAATATGTGCTTTTATTATGGTTATTAGATTAAAATTACCTTTTAAAAATGCATCCTTCAACCAGATCATAAACAAAACTTCATTAAGTCCACATTTCTGTATTTCTTTTTTTATTTAATCTAAAATATAATCCTATCTTGAATGTCATGTTTTCATTAGCTGTAGGCAAGAAAATAATCATAATTAACAACAAATGCTTAATTAAAAACACTAGTCTGTGCATAATTAATTAATACCTACGTAAATTGAATTATTAAAATAAACATTTTACAAAAATTTTAACTTATTGAATATGATTGTACATCTACCTTAAAATGCTCTTTAAAATTTAATTATTTTATTTTCAGTACAACCTTAAAATAACTGGAGAACAGAAATGTACCAGTATGAATTCTGTAGCATCAAGAAAAAATAAGAGAAAAGTAAGAATAAAAAAATGTGGACCTTAAAGCCACTAAGTTCATAAATTATGCAATTACATTGATAATACCATAGAATTAAGAGCTAGATTTCCCAATAATATAGTGATAATGATAATAATGATAATAATAATCATAATAATAAAATTTTTAAAAGCCTAATGTTAGTATTTGAGTAACTTCACAACTTGATAAACTATTAAAGAAATTTTTAAAAATCTGCTATGTGGCAGCCAACTCTTGACTAGAAACATTGACCATTGGTTAACAACACAAACCACGTCCAACAATCCAACACCATGTAGTGTTTAAAAGTGTGTCAATGAGTATTAAGTCAATGAAGCACCTCTCATGACCACTCGTCTCAATTAATGTCACATCCTGCGTCCCGGTCCACATCCCTTCTCAACGGACAGCAGACTTTAGAGCCTCTCCAGCTCCTCTGAAAATTTCTCACTGTCCTTCTTTCTAATTAGCTTTAGTGCAAAGAATATTAAACCTGGATCCACTTGTGTTTGTACAAATTAGTTTGTACCTGACTCCGAACCCTGCTGCATGTCAATCATCTGCTGAAACCCAGAATTATAATGTTCAATGCCTTGCAAAAGTATTCATACATCTTGAGGTTTTTCATAATTTCCCCATGACAAGCACAAAAATCTCACTATATTTGAAATAGAATATGGCAAACGCCTCCATAAAAGGCATTAGGTTTGCATTGTCTTTTGTTTGTTTGATAAACAATTGACGAATTGTCGACAATTTGACAATTGTCGACAATTGTTAATTGGCAAAAAGTTTTATTCTGCAAATCTAAATTTGTTAAATTTTGATGCAAATTTAGATTTGCATCAAAGTTTGTAAATGCAAATCTACAAATTTTGTGGATTTGCATTGTACAAACCTCCAAAACTTTACAATTTTGTTGGTATTATTTCGATCTTTTGTAGATTTCATTTCGAGGTGTGGGCGTATTGTAAGTTAAAAATTCATCAGATCTCCATCAAATTATTTACTCAGGTCCTTGGTTCTTCTCTTAAAAATGTTGCTCTACTTTGCATTGGGCTTAAAAAAAATCTCAATAAATTACATCTAACTTTGTGGCTGAATGTTGGAAATGTTGGAAATATTTAGGCTGCATGCACACGTTTGCAATGCTTCAGCCCTTAACAATCAATTAAAGATGTGTCTAATAATCCTGTCAAATCAAAATGAACTCATTCCACTGACGAAACTAACAACCAAAAGATGGCTCCTCTCTAAAGCTGTAAAATTTTGACAGTTCCCTCTCATGCCAGCTGTGTGTCATCTGACTCCACCTTTTCTTTTCAAAGACAAACTGTCTCTGACTGCTGACAGCTCTTTGTCTCCCAATGTTCAGAGAGAAATGCTTTTAGGAAAATGTTGGTCGGCTGCAGGCGGCCTATGCCTGCAGTGATTGATCTCTCCAGGTTGGAGAGACCGTGGTATGGAGGAGGACCTCTATGATCAAAGCTGTCTAATTAAAGAAGAGGCTCACTCTCTCTGGTGTTATTTGTATTCATTGCTCTGATGTTAAGTGTTTGCCTCTGAAAGGAGACAGAGCGCTCTCTTTGTCTCCTGTGCCAAGCATCATCCCACCTTTTGAGTTATCACAAAGGTAAACAGGATACAGTCAGCGGAGTTACGGATGTCCAAGGTGCAGAAGAAAAAGATACATGAGGTGAAAGGCTTAAAAATATATGCACATTTTATTTTATATTTATGTGGTTAAAATGTGGGTGAAAAAACAAATATGTTAAAAAAAAAAGGAGTTAAAGTTTTGAAATGGAAAATTACAGGCCACTGGCAATGATTTGTCATGTTTGTGTTTATTTCTGAAGGCCAATCTTTCCCAAAGTCATCATCTGACTTTTCTATTTCCGTCATGAGGGAATGACTATAATTAGTGGTGGCACCAGGCCTGAAAGGGTCAGGAGTTATTAACCTTCACAGATGGACACGTTTGGGAGGATGTGGTTGCCGTGCCCCACTGGCCTTTGAGTCACGTCAAACATAATAAAAAAACAAAGACGAAGTATTCTGATCAAAAGATTTATATTGGGACTGAACAGGTAAAGTGAACCTCTTTAACAAGATATTTTATTTTATTTTTTTTTTTTTTTTAGGGATAAGTTGGGACACAAAGTCAGTTCTGGTTTGACTTCCTCCCTGGTTATTTTCTTCCTCATGAGACGGCTGACAGAAAAGCATACACAGCCCAATGAAAAGGTTTCTGTATTGTAGAAAATAAGACACTGATAAAAGGATTTCAAAACATTCTTTTCCTTTAGACATTCTTTACATTCTTTATGTTTTTTTACAGTTACATTTGATGTAACTGTAAAAAAACAACGATGTTGCTCACCCCTTTCAAGTAATACTTTGTTAATTCACTTTTGGATTCACCTTGAACATTCAGTTTCCACAGCATATTGGTGTACACATGATCTGCAGCTTTAAAATAAATATACCTCAAACTTAATTATATTGCTATGCCTCTCCATTAAACATTGAGCCCCTGCAGTCAAACTTGACATCAGTCTTGCCAAAGTTGTCCAGATGCTTGAGATTGTGATGATATCTTTTCAGGTGACCCTGTCTAGGCTTTTACTGGGCCATCCCAAAAATATGCCTTTTAAAAGTAATAATTCTATTCAATTATTAGCACATTTTCATAGTTTCGTCCCTCTTGATTAAAAGAAGAAAACTGCTTCATCATTTTTCACTGTGCATATATTCCAAAGTCAGTGTGGTTTTTGTGGCAAATTGAGGCCAAAAGCTTAACTTTTGGTGTATCAGAAAATAAAAAATGTATATCCACAAGTTTTCAGGAGATTTCAGCCAAGCAGGGATGTATATATGTGAAAGAAAATACTTTTGTTTTATGTCCCCTCTCCATATTCCCGCAGCTTCTTCAAAGTTGCTGTTGTCATTTTGGCAGCCTCTCTTACCAGTTATCTAGTTTGTCCTTCAGTTTGAAGAAATGTCCAGATTTCTAGTGTCACCTTCTTGTCCCATATTTTTTCCAGTAATGAATGATTGTCTTCACAGAGATTTGGTAAATAGATATTGTGCTGTTGTTACCTTCAGCACCCTTCCACTGACTGGTACCTTTGTACAATAAGATCACTTTGGTTCTTTAGAATCTCTCAGTGAGCTATGACTTGAGTTTGAGGTTTTTAATCTCTATGTTTTGTTTTGTTTTTTTTCCTGGCAAAATAAAAGGTAAATAGAAGTTCCCTTTTTCTCCCCCAGAATTGTTTTGCAGCTGAATTGTGAACATGTATCACATTAAATGTAAAAAGAAAAAGTTTTGAAATTATTTATTTGGTCTCATATTTCACAAAAATCCTGGACTGCGTAGACTTTTTAGATCAACTTTAAATCATCTATGTGGGCTGCCAGATGCTGAAATTCACCTGGCTGACTCTAATATATTTAGGAACAGCATGTTCCACTCACCGCTCTCGTGACAGAGAGGAAACGGTCATAGCTGATGAGCACAATGCTGAAGACAGAAGCCGAGCAGAGCAGATAGTCTGTGACCAGCCACAGCTTGCACAGCCCTCGACCCAGCGTCCACCTGCCTGTCAGGATGTAGGGGATATAGACTGGAATACAGAAAGCCCCTACACAAAATTGATGAAGAATAGAACCAAAACATAAGGCCAGACAGAATAATATGCTCTTTTTTAAAGCACTTTGCAACATGTGACATGTTGATATAAATGTATTTATGTCATTTTAGAACAAAATATAAATGTTCAAAATTCATCAAATAAAAATAGCCAAATAAAATATATAAATCATAGCTGAAATAACCTCAGGAACTATTAATGTCTAAATATGTCAATTTTTAATTCCATCCATCCAGCAGTAAATAATGACTGGATAAAACTGGGGAACACTGGATTTACTTGAGCCATGTAAACAAATGGAATGATTCCAGAACTTAATTTGGCAGGCTAAGGAAAAGTAGACACATGTAGCGTTCACATAAGAAACAATAAAAGTTTGCTATTTTCTTATTACGTCGTCTGGATAGGAAGATTAGAAGATTGAACTCACCCACAAGAAAATCTGAAATTGCCAAATTCAGGAAGTAGTAATTGCACTGTCTCCTCAAACTCTTGTCCACCTTAAAAGCCAAAATGACCAGCGCGTTCCCCAGAACTATCACCACGACCAAAGTCACCATCATCACCATCAGAATGACAAATATGGGTCCCGAGAACACGAAGCTGCTCTGGATTCGTGTTGAGGGATTGTCAAAATAGTACCCGCTGGAGTTGGAATAAGTGTGTTCCTCCGACATGGTGGAGATGTGAGTCGTTAGAATCCTTAACAGGGAAGTGCCAACAAAAATAATAAACCAGCAACAGGTGCCTGGAGGACGAAAATTGCGATCAACACCCCCATATGTGCTCCGAAAGCTCCGGGCTTCCCGACGAAACTGCGCACAGTGCTGGGAAATATCCACGAGAGAGCGCAAGACGCGCTTCCATAACGCATGCCTGGATACCTGATGAAGTTTACGCACGTTTGGCAGCAATACCTCTGCACGATTTGCTGTGACAGAGTGGCATCAAATGGCATCCTTTGCCACTTATGCGGGAATGCTGTTGCTTTTCCGCGGAATCAGCACCAGAAATCCAGCTCTGTAATTCCCCAAATGTTAGCGTTGCTTTTAAGAATAAATGTTGTCCTCTTAAACACAAACATAAATATGGCTGTTTTAAGAATATATGAATCATATAAAACAGTGTCATTGTCCATTGATACAGGCATTTCAGTATAGTGAACACCCTAAGAAGTCTGATCTGTTTTATTCAAATGTCAACCTCCTGACTTGAATCATCACAGCGGGATGTTCCACTGTTTAACAATCCTCAGACATATTTCCCTTGATGAAAATTTTCATATTTGATTCGCAGACACACATTTGTTCTCTCCAGTAATCTCAAGGGGCATTAGGTAGGCACAGAAAATCCAGCTTTTTATGTTGTTTGAATTGGAACAAATGCTCATAGAACACAAGTTATCAGATACTCAGCTGGGAAGTAATAAAGTATTAGGTAGCTATATAAAAAAACTGCATGGATAATTTGTCATCAAAGAATAGAGGTTAATGTATAATCAGAATAACGTTCCCACATCAGAAAAATAATAACACCTAAATCTATTTTTTTTATACTGCCTTTTGCATTACAGGTTCGTGTCAATAAATTTGAATATTTCAGTGATTAATTTCAAAGACGAAACTTCTGTATGTTGTTGAAAGTCTTTACAGGTGAAGTAGCCTACTTCAGGAGTTTACCTATATCTCAATAATTGTTAATATTACTCAACATTCGATTTATTTCAGGAAGTCAATTCAAAAAGTAAAACTCATATGGTTAAATTTCTTACAAAGAGATAGATCCTCAACAGTCAGTTAAACAGTCCAAAGGGAGGGAAAACTGCAAAAGGTTATTGCTAAAGTACCTGGCTGTTTGTGCTGTATGAAAGTATGCATAAAATTAAGGTTGGAAAAGGGTCAGTAGAAAAATGAGCACACACAACAGGGACACCTGCCGGCTTAAAAATTATTCAAATAAATCTCATTTAAGAGCTTTGGGGAGTGGACTGCACCCTGTCAGTCCTTCAAGAGTTACCACAAGCAACCACAATCAGGTTATGGACAACAAGAGTCATATTTCTTGTATTAGCCTACTGTTGAACAAGAACTATCAGACATTTTGTTATCTGTTGCTCTTTGGTTAAAAAAGCTCTTTAAACATTTGTGCATGCTAAGGTGGATGATAATTCAGTTATACAGGATGCATCAGTAATGTATAATTTATGTCAACTCTGAAAGAAAAAAAACCTTGTATGGCCTCTAACAACTCTTGGTTTGTCTGAACATTTGCACACACTGGAATTGTCAACTTTTAAGACAGACAACCGCAGACAAAACTGAAAAGTGGAAATTAAAAAGGTTTATAATTCTGTATTAAAAGTCATTGTGAAACTGATCTTTCTGGCTGTTTTGCACAATTTTACCTCAGTGCATCTGTATTTAATATTTGACCTATCAGAAAAATGCAGCAACTTTCAAATAAATTGGGTAATTGTGAAACTAAAATTACATTATTGCTTTTTTTCCTCTTTTTTTTTTTTTTCATTTTCTCTGCTAAATTAAATTACATTTTCTCTGCTAGATGCTATGGACTTCTTTTACTATACAGAAAGCTGAGCTTGTTTTTTTTTTTTTTTTTAAGTTTCTTCAAAGTTGACTCTCTGACAGCCCAGCATTTTGCTGAAAAAGAACTACAGTATATGTCCCTATTTCTTATGTTCCCACAGCGCACAGAGAAATTTCCTTCACTCCATCTTGAATTCACAGGAAGTCCTTTAAGTCCATCAGCAGGGGTCAAAAAAGCTACAGGACTCTCTGCAGGAGAACATTTCAAATGACTGTTATTTTCTCACAGTGAACAATATCTCTCAGTCATTCCTTGCATGCATATAAAGAAAACTAATGTAATTTATGTAACTTATCTGAGTTCAGAACCTTAATTTGTTTCAAATTTGAGGAAGCACAGCTTATTCAGAAAATAATATGTGTTAAACATAAAAAGATTTTGTATGTTTATCACAGATGATTTTGCTATGCTGTTTGATCTACACTGGGCATTTCCCTCACTAAGAACACATAAATAACAACCCACTGATTAATTTATTCCAGTACCTTCAAAAATTGTAATTTAAAGCAAAATCGGTTATTTCAATTCTAAGGTTCTGACTGGCTCTAAAACAGGGTAATAAATGTGAAATCCCCAATGTTTTTTTTTTAATTCAGATACATTATTTGTGTTTGTTGATGTCATGGAAAACGACTGAGCTGTATTGGCAATGGCATTTTACAAAAGTATGATGAAATTAGGACATTTTTTAGACATTTTGTTCCCTGTTATGTGCAAAATATAACCTCTTATAAAAAAGCTAAAAAAAAAAAAAAGGTCATTGCAACAGATTCTTAAATGTCATAAATAATAGGTAGGTTATTCCAGCCCAACATCTATGTCAATTCAAAGATCATGCAATTAAGTGTAGCAACTGCACTTTAATAAATTATTTTCTTCCTGGTGAAATCCGTCTCCAGTGGAGAATTTCTATTCATCTTTCAATAACAATTTTGTTCTAGTGTGAAATAGGATAAAGTAGCACATACATATTAAACAGAATCAGTTTTGGGAGAAACAATCAGTTGAACAGGTGCAGCCTGTGGATCTGAAAATCCAAAAGCAGAGACTTATTTAAATGTCGAGGGCACTCAGAAACAAAGCTGTGTCACGGAGGATCCACAAAGGCTCTAGTGCTGCCAATTATACCGAGCCCTGCTGTGGCTCTCTCCCACTCTGCCGCTCGAGTGTTTGTGTTTGGGTGCTGGCTTGAAGCACAGATGCTATCATACTGTGAGTATGGCTTCCCGTCTAGAGTAATCACGGTTAAAATTCACCCATAACCTATCTGGTGCACGTCTTAAGTCGCCATTTGACAAAAGCTTTGAAGTGTTTTCTTCAAAGATCACAACACATGTTCTGGCAGCATAAATCCGGCCCTACTGTAAAGCAAACATCCAATATAAATCTACTATTATAAAATGTTTATTGCATATAGACTTGATACAGGGTAGAAAAAATAAAACAAGATTCCTCACATGTTTCTCTGTAACTGTATTAATATAAAGTAAGTGACAAAGATCAGTGAAACCTATTTTTCAGTTCACTCTGACAGGTTCTGCTTTGAAGTTGAGCCTTGATATGAATAATTCTTTTGAAAATGTATATATATATATATATATTAAAAAAACTGGAAACAGTTGTCACAGAAAAATTGGATTTTAGCCTTTCTTCCTTTCTTCATTCTAACGTCACCACTTTTCTTCATCCAAGTTTTGTTGCTGTTTTTTAATATATATTTTTTCTAAATAAAATGTAATAAATAATTTTATATCAAATAAACTCCATTTTGGAATGCTGTAATAGTGACTCTTTATCACATTGCACACACTTTTTCCAGCTCGGCTCACTAACTTGGCGACAAAAGCTAAAAACGACAAAAACCCTCTGAAAGAATATATTGACCTTTTTTCTTTCAGTTTCCTTTTCACATTGTCCTGACCTTTCATCACAATATTTGTCCAAAGTTTTGCTTTACATTTTGGTATTTCTTTGAAATACCAATAGAACCATGACATTAATGAATCCACCCATTTTTTGACTACACTTGTCCTTGCAGGGTCACAAGAGGTCAATGGATGAGAGGCAGAATTCATCCTGAATTGGTTACCAGTCAATCACAGAAGTCATGACATACATTTGTCACTTTCAATGGGAAGTAAAAAGCCACTGTAAGACCAATACAAATGTTACTATGTCAGAACATTTAAAGTAACCAATACAGTAGACAGTGATTTTTTTTTTTTACTGATACTGTAAAATTATAAATTTTCACAAACTGAAGAGGAAAAAACAGCTAAATGCAAGACTAAGGATTCACAATCTGGAACATTTGTCTGTCAGAGGAGAGAAAAGGATGAGAGAGAGAAAAGAAATGTAAAATTGAAAGTGATTATATTGTTATTTCGGTGCAGTAGGCAAGAGAAGACCAATCCAAAATATGTTTCTGAGGTTGAACTGTCAGATGAGTCTCCAGAAGGGATCCAGATGACAATGCTGTGCAAAGTACTCTGTCTTGAACTCTTTAAAATTTATTTTGAAAATGCATAATTACAAACTTCTGCAGGTTTTTATGAGATTTTAGCAAATGGTTATGAAACAGATGTAAAGGGAGACATGCTTTTCAATACTTCAGATTGAGTTGCAAATAAATAGTTTAGATTTAACACATACACATGTGTTAAAGTGACCTAGTCCAGACTAAAATCCACTCATAGCAAAGCTTAAAAATTGATGTTCAGAGATGCTCTAAGTTTTGCTATTTTGTAAAGAAAAAGCAGCAACAATTTCCATCTCAATTTGTACAAAGATGGCAGACATGTACCCCAAAAGTCTTAGAACTGTAATTGGTTTTAAAAAAACATATGAGCCCAATGTTCTGTTCACATGTTTCAGTAGTGAGCACCGTTTCCTGCTCATGGAAGATTTTTTTAAACAGAAAGATAATCTGCAAGATCCAAAAGGAAATCACAAGTAGGAAAAACAGGCTGTTTAGAAATTTTTCAGAAATAGTTTTGGCCAAGTTACAAAAAGCATGAACTGAAAATCTGGTTGTGAGGGTTTTTTTTGCCAGTCTTTTTATGTGTCAAAA